CCCCAAAACCCCAAAACCCCAAAACCCCAGACGTCTGCATAATTATTGTACAAATATTTTATTAAACATACAAAATGAGCACAAAGAGGCTTAACAGCAAGGTAAGCAGCATTTTGGTCTTAAAGAGCTTAACTATCAATTTGTTCTTAACAATCTCTTTGTGTTTTAGAAGGCTCAAAGAGAAATATTGACTGAAAGAATGCCGAATATTACACAAACCTCAACCAAGAATTTCAATATAATTTTCAAGAATAAATACCTTTTTGAGAATTTAAAGAAGAAACTGAAGTCTGTGGCGGGGCAGAAGGGCAGCAAAAGCTCATTAAAGACTAAAATTCCATCATTTTCCTCGAAATAAGTAAGTATTGGAACCTCTTGGGACTAACCGTCTAGAACTCTCAAAGTCAAATTCTCTGAAAAGTCTATTTCAATCAATAATGCAAAGAAGATTTTGGGAGAGAGTAAATTTGAGATTGAGCATACCCCACATAAAGAGGTATTCCAGAGCTTGTCTGTCAATAAAGGATATCCTTCTTCAAAGAAGATGGTTAGATTGCCTAAATTTGAGAAATTGCCAATAGATCTCTCTCAAATACCTAGTGCAAATGGATTTAGTACTTATTATGCAATCACACTTTTAGCTCCCAGAGATCTCAAGGAAAGCAGAAACTCTAAGAGAGTAAAGAAAAGAGAGTTTGTGACTTTAGAGAATGTCAGATCGCCCAATACAAGTAGAAGCTTCTTCAAAGTATTTTCTAACTCTCAGAGTCATCTTGACAACTCTCAGATTGGATCTAATGATAGCTTTCTTACTCATCTTGATAAAAGATTTACAAAGCTGAAAAATTATGCAACTAGATTGCAAAGTCCAAAACATGGTCCTTCGAAAGCTCAGTTGCTGGAGGGATGAATTAAGATGCAGAAAATAAAAGAAAGTAACCGCAGGCAACACGCTAATAACTCTAATTACATTGACAACACTAGAAACCTTCCTTTACTTGACATGAAGAAATTTTGGAGTGACAAACCTGAGCACCGGAATACAAAATCAAAGCTTGAAATTTATAAAGAGTAATTTTAGATGAATAAATTTTATAGTAGTAAAATTGATGACTGCCAAGATCAATCTGTAAGGACAGCTAGAGAGTCTGACCAGAAATTCCTGGACAAAAAGCTTATGCTTCCTGATGTAAAGAGTGATAAATTCAAGCTTATCTTAGATCCTTTCAAACAAGTCTCTTCATTCAGGAGACTTAAGAAATCTGATATCAAGGGGAATATTAAGAAGATCCTTTTAAAGAAATCTCATAAGAAGTCTGGTTCGTCACAGAAAAGCTTATCCATAAGTGACTTCGACCTCTTCGAAGCGATTAATAAAGTACACAGGATAGAAGAAGGTGACAGGAAACATCAGGATTTCGCATTTATTACCAAATCTATTGAAGGAATTGTTAAGGATAAGATTAAATTCGAGATCTCTAACAGTAAATTTACTGCTATAATAGATTCTATCTCCAAATCCGTAACAACCAGAGTAGTTTTTAAGAACGAGCTTTTGTTCTCTGGAAATGAAGATGTATCAGGTGTCTATGTACTACTTGACGGGAAGATTGGAGTCACAGATGATACTGCCTCTGAGAAAATAACAGAGAAGCTTAAATCTGATGATACAAATATTGACTTAACTCCTCTTTGTAATGAAATTATTACTGAAGCGTATACATTTATCTGAGAGGCACAGATTGCTAAAGAGGAGAAGTTTATAAATACCACAGTTGGTCTTCATTTTCCATTTTCAAGACTGATACATATTCCAAAAAGGCACTATTTAAGCTTATTAAAGCATATTTGGGACTCCTTCCCTGAACGGAAGGGAAAGTATATCTCAGAGAAGTCTGAAATAGATTAACTCCTGGAGAGATCTTAAATAATTGTTATAATGACCTTTTTCAATTGTACAAAAATTTTAAGGGGTTTTGGGGTTTTGGGGTTTTGGGGTTTTGGGG